CATTCCCAATATGCGCTGGCTGATGTTGGAGCAGCATGAGTACGAGCAATTATTTATTTATTTATTTTTTGCCGATGCCCGTGATGCCGCCCCCCACCACGATGCCGCCCGGGGCAACCGCCCCTATCAAAAACCGCTACTGTCTCTGATATATCTTATATCTGGTTTTCTTCTCTCTATGAGATTGTACCATTTTTAAAGGCTTGATGCTAACTGAAAGAGACTGAACAGAAATATGAAGCTACAGTCAGCTGCTGGTTAGTTTATCATAGCATAAAGACTAAAATATGGGAATTGTAAAATAAGAGGGTTAAGTTTTCTCATTCTGAGTCGGTCTAATTGAATTTTATCCATCCAGCCATCAATTAACTTCTTATGTGTTGTTAAATGATGGCAGCAGCATGCTTGAAGTCCCACTCCCCAACAACACTTTCAAGTTCTTCCTGGTGGGTCCCCAGATATTCAAAGACCAGATGAAATATATGTAATCTCTCCAGGAGGTTCTGGGTCTTCCGCAGGGTTTCCCATCAGTTGGGTGACTTGTGTCATACTTCAGCTGTTATTTTAAACTTATAGCAGCTGACAGTCTCTTATTGTATCCTTCTCTTTAGGATCACTATCGCCTTAGCTTTGGAGTCTATGTAGGTACAGCTGGAGATGCTCTTTCTGGAACCTATCAGGTTGGGGTTTCAGACTGGGCCAGCCACCAAGGCATTAAATTTAGCACCTATGACCAGGACAACGATAACTACAAGGGAAACTGTGCCGAAGAAGACAAAGGAGGCTGGTGGTTCAACAAGTATGGGGTTTGCCCATTCATCAAAAGATTTGCAAAGATGGAAAAGTATTTATCAGTCATCCATTATCATAAAAAATAACAAAAGGATATTTGTTTTTTCACACTCCACAGGTGTCACTCAGCCCATCTCAATGGCAGATACTATCCCAGTGGGTACTACAACTCTGTAACAGATGATGGTGTAGTTTGGTACACTTGGAGAGGATGGTGGTACTCTCTGAAAACCAGCATCATGAAGCTGAGACCCACTGCCTTCGAAATTGATCCCATTGATGACCCCAATGTGGTTCATCGCAGCCCCAATTCACAGGCCGAAGAAGATCTCAAATCAATTGTGGGCAGAAACTAATTAGAAAACAGTACTTTTACAGTAATACTGTAAACATTTTTTCCTGTTTTATTGGACTATATCTTAATGGTAAATGGCAAGTAGAGAAGTAAAAAGTGGATTAACTCGAATTCATTATTTTTCCTATACCGGTATTGGGAATATAAAAATAAACAACCCTTCTTAGCTTATCTTAGTAGGAGATGCTTATGAAATGCCTGTTTTATAGCTCCATGTTACAAGAGGAAGTAGAATGCACACACAGCTATCTGTTTTGGTGGAGAAAAGGGGAATCTGATGTCAGTGTGTGTGCCAGACACAGGCGCAAACATTGAAGTGAAAGGAGCCATTATCATGTCACTGAAAATAGTTGTAAGAGGAGTTGATGTTGTCATAAAGTCATACAGACAGAGAAGATAGACAACATAGCACTGAAGCCAATGCTATTTCTTTGGCACACACAAACAGTCTGCCCCAGGGCAGCTGTGGCTACAACTGTAGCTGCCTCCACCAGTGTGTGAATGTGAGAGTGAATGAATAGTGGAATTGTACAGCACTTTGAGGGCCCCGAAAAGCGCTATATAAATGCAATCCATTATTATTATTATTATTATTATTATTATTATTATTATAAATAGAGGCTTAAAAATACTATGCATGGACTGTTATCCACTTACAGGCTGTGGACACACTGTCAACTCCATATTCCTCTTATTTGAATTATAACCATGATTCCAGAAATAAAACTTGCAAGTCCTCCCTGTTATTTCATAATGCTGAATTAACTAATTGTGTTGTTCTAATGCTGTTGTATTTGTTTCTATTCTTTTATTAAAAACGTTAAATATCAAATTTCTTGTGACACCTTTATTTGAATTCTGACATTTTGTGAGCACATTTTTCTACTCCACATGCCAAATCACTGTCACTCAAAGGTGGAATTTAACCGTATCCACAACTTTTTGCACTCTTTATTTTGTACCGTTTATGGCTTACTATTTCTAAAACATCATAGACATGGCTGTTGGAAAATAATAGACTCCCACATGACTTTGTACAGGACTGCTTGCCTACATATTGTGACGAGTAAATGTATGAATCATTGTATGTTAATGTTTAATTTTTCGTCTAGGTCAGGCTGGACTGAACGCCATCGACCAAACAGCAAGGCTTATATGTAATCTGAAGAAGGATACTGACAATAAAAGAAAGCCACCCAGTTTACTTGACTGACAATGAATCCATGAACTGACAACTGTGCATTATCTCTGGATTGCTGGATTTTTCAAAGGAGGATGGCTTATTTTATTTTTATAAAGTCTTATGGAGTTAATAATGGCCTAACTACAAATTTACGCCAATCATTACTAGTGCGGCAATTATGAGAAAATGCAAGCCTGTGATTATCATTATAGAAAGTAGGGATGAGGGCAACAGGAAATAGGAATGCAGAATAAATATGTGTGAAATCTAAATTATCATTGCGTAAATACACAGTATCGCCTTTGTTTAAGCCAGTATCTGTAAAATAAAAAAAAATCTACGCAATCATAAGCCAACTATTATCCTCTATCTGGCGGTGTGCTTAATTAGCATAACCAACTTTCCCGATGGGCGGTGCTTTCCCTGCTACAGATAGGTTCAAGCGAAAGCCCCGTCCAATCACACCATCCCCAGAGTTAAAACAGACGCGCCGTCGGTGGTTAATGCCGGCGCTGATTGGCTAACACCCTTTCACGTTTAGAGAGATTGTCAGTCAGCTGGAGCTCAAGTAAAACAACACAGTACTTGTTTTTATCTTTCAGGGGCTTTTGAACTAGAGACATTTTTTCTTGCTGCGTTTATGGCACCTTTAATACATTACTAAACGGCCCGTGGAACATTCTGTTACGGAGAGAAAAGCGTGAATGTAGCGTTGTTATCGTCACCCCAATTTTTAACGATAGGTGAGTAAGCTAACGTTAGCTGAAGTTAAATTGCTTAATTAGCACGCGAGCTAGTTAGCCGCCTGTTGCAGTTAGCTTGGCAGCCAAAGAACACAGAAGTTCGAGGTTGCTTGACTCTTCCTTGTATTTTATGAATTTTTCTTCCTCGTTTTGAAGCATGTAACGGCAACTTATGCTGGCTTTCTAGCGTAGCTTCTTGCTAGCTTAGATTGTAAACGACAGTCGGTGAGCTACCCTTCCACCGAAAGTGTCTCCAAGGTGACGGTGGTTGTTTCTCCATCCATTTACTCCCTGCTCTCTCCCTCTCTGCTTTCTGATAGCTCCTGACGCCTTTTCCCAGGAGAAGCCCGGTGCCCTGTTTTGTTGTCTGGAGCGCCGTGTTGTGGCTGAGAAAGCTCTCGGTGGTCCGTGATTGTTGCTGCCAGGCGGGCCGACGCTAGGAGCGTGGGGGAACATAGCGGCGTGTGTCTGGTGAGGAGATGTCAGAGCGGGGATGCCTCTTTTTGGAGACAGTTTTGTAGGCGAGGGTATACGCGAGTGTACACAGTATACCTCCCGCTGGGACTTGGCGTGCAAACCAGCGGAGCGACGTTTCAGCATAACTAGCAGTGACACATATATGGATGGTGGGGTCGCAGTATGCCCACCCCCTCGAGTACCACTACATCACCGGCTGGAGGGAGAAGCAATACCGGGGGAGAGGAAGAGGGGCCCATGTCCGCAGCTTCTACCTCCTCCATCGGCTCATCTTTCCGGTTCGTCCCAGCCTTCTGCCTGGGCGTGGTGGCAGCAGTAGTATTTCAGCTGGCATGGGGAGGCCTGTCTCTCACCTCGTTCTTCTTAAAGCTCTTCATCTATGTGTCATTCGCCCTCCTGTGTTTCCTGGCTGGGAGCTTTGCCCTGCTGGTCAGGAAGAGTCCTCTCAAAGTCAGCTGCTTTAACCGGAGCAGGAGGCAGCCTTCTGAATGGCTGGAGTTCTTCAACAAGCTCATGGTAAGACGACCCCTTAAATTCATTAAGGGACATGCAGCACACCTCCAGGAACACGCAAACTGTAGCTCTGTGCGACATCTCATTAGGATCACACTGTGTCTCATCAGAAAACATTGTTTACTGCTGACATGCAGACTTATATCTAAGGGCTTTTTGCACACTCTGCATTATTGACAAACTAGATCTGTTGAGCATCTGATGTTTTACATTTTGCCTCCTGATTTGGCCTTCTCAACCATTCCACCCCCTCGTTCCCTGCTCCAATTAATTTCCTTCCACCTCAGCATTTGTACCCACTCTGTCTCTCTGATGTTGTCTCCCTACTCTTTTATCCTTGCTGTGTTCTATAATAGATGAGGTACAGTCATTCTTCTGGATTTAGCCTGATTCGCAACACTGAGCACATGCATACACACAACAAATGGTAATTTATTCTTTAAGGAAAGCCTTTGGGTGTTTGCAGCCGGTTGGTGGCATCCCTCAGCCCAGCGGCTGCCTTTCATCTGTGATGTTTGATGTTCTGTGGCGCTTATGACTTATTGATGTTGACAGTGGATGAGTATTGTCACAAACATTAGTCCGAGTGACATGTTGCACGAGCTGTGACCAATTTGGGCTGCTTCATTTGTCATGATTTTAGGCCTTCTAGGCACAATTCTCAGTCCTAGCTCTCTTCTCTCCTTGTATTTCCTGTTTTTATGTTGTTCCTTAACTGGAATTGCCTGTTTGGCTACTTTTCAGGTTCGTTTTTTGGTGCCAGTTCAGGAGTCGAGCCAGAGCAGGAGGGTGGTGGTGTCGCACAATGTGGACAAAACCCTGAAGGAAGGTAATTAGTCACCTGTTTTATGGCACATTTATGTGAATACATGAGGAGCTATTGATGTGTGAGGAGATTTTGATATTCTAGCAGTTGATGTTAAAAAGAACTTAAAAAAAACCCAATTGCTTTTTCTGTTTTTGCCATTTTTGTGGCATCCTGTCTTTATAGAGTAAAATGTGTGAGCGAATCAGGATTCTGAAATTGGATCATATGACAGTCAGATGTCTGAGATCACTTGAGAGTCATTTTTTGAAAGGCTTTAAATTGGCGTTTGCAGAAGAGTGATATTTTCATTGATTATTCGTGCTAGTTTTTTGAAGGACTTCAGAAGCAAACATGAATGTGTCTTCCTCTAAATTTCCGTTTCAGTTATTTCAGTGTTTGAATTCCACGTATAAAAAGTTCAAAATTCCATAAAAAGACTTTTCCTTTAACGTTTATGCTCTTTTCAAGCTCTGCATTTTTTTTTTTTTTGTTTTGTTTGTGGACTCTACTGTAGTAGCTTATCTTACACTGGGCCTTGGTCTAGCCTCTCAGTTCATAACACTGTCTGAAACAAAATGTTTCAGCTCCCTTTCCTGTCCGTTAATGCTCCTGATTGGCTGCCACTCTCAAACAAAAGACATGAACAGCAGCTGTGGTCTTAACTTTGAGATGACTGTAATAAGGACATCCATTCTCACTGGTATTATTCAGAGTTGAGAGCTGGGAAAACGGTAAAATTTTTAAAATGTAGTACTTTACAGCGTCAATACTGCCTTCTCTCCAGTCATCGAATTAGACATATTTTGGTGGCATTACAACACACTGTATAATACTGCACTTTGACAGTGGTGATTCAAAAGGATAGTCATGTTGATTCTTATTGTGGCTTGCTCTGTTTTGAAAAAAAAACTTTGCTTTTTTTCATATTGAAAACTTGAAGCTTACACAGCATTAAAATCTGTTTTTCACTCTCAGTAGTATTAGGAGACCTTTCCTGAAATGACTGATGGAAAAAGTTTCAACTTCTGTTTTTGACAAAATTGCTGACTGACGGAGCTCTGCTTCTGTCATTCACCACGACCTGTCACCCATCTCTCCCACACATTAAACCAGTTGAAGGTTAAAGACGCGTACACACTGGGAGCCGCAAACAGACACTCGCACACCCATGCACGCTCAGTAGATCAGTGCATGTGCCTGCCAAGTAACAGATGGCTCCAGGATTTACACCGAGGGTGTGTGTTTGCACATCCTTCTGTGTGTTTTTAAAAAATGGTCCTTTGATTGCAGTGCGATACAAGTTTATGACATTATTAGCTTTATAATCAAGATGTGCTGTGTCAGTGAACTTATGCCTTGATATACCTTGATGTGTTTTGTGGGATTCTTTAGAGTGATGCATTTAAAGCAAGCAGAGTACTTACATTCTAGTTAGAACCTTTCCAGAGGAGCTTACTGTGAGTGCTCAACACAAAATACCTTCTGAACTGTGTCTCATTTATTTTATTAATTTTTTTTTAAAAAGATGAAGAAGTAGTATGAGAGCATAATGTTGTTTGAAGTGGAAACTGAGAAATGGAGTAAATCCAATTGTGCAAGATTGGTCTTTATCTGTTATTAGAGTGATAACCTCTCTAACCATTCATCCCCCCTCTTCATCTGTTTCTAAAGCACTGATCCTGGTCAGTTCCAGTGCCTAAAGGCACACATAGAGGTTGTAGGGTCGCTTAACTTGCATGTCTCTGGTTAAAGGGAAAAACCCCAAGAACGTGACAAAGTATGTGCTTTACAGTCATTCCTTACAAGAGTGAATGCTGGTCATGTCTGTTGTGAGTATTAGGGAGCTTCTCCTCCTGATCTGCAACATACAGTACATGTTGATAATGTGCTGTATATAATCTACAGCGGGTTAGCTTGGATCACTGCATACACTGCAAAGACAGAGAGATTCTGCATTTAGTTAAAAGATCACAACAGAACAATTGGTTTGGTTCACACATTGAAACTGAATTTCACAGAGAAGGGGAAGTGCCACGCTGTTCTTCAAAGCATAACTCGATCAGTATGCAGTTATTCAAGTGATAATATGAATTTAATTTTTACAGTTGAATTCATTTTTTTTAATGTATATGTTGTACTGGACGAGCTGCTTATATTTAGATTGCATCTGATTTTTTTTTTCCTGTGATTTTGCTCTTTGTGCAGTTTGTAAGTTAAAGATTTGACCAGTAAAATCTGTTTTTCAGCAGCTAGTTAAAGCAGAGTGCTCACTGTTAAGCTATGGTGTTCCCAGGGTTAAAATTAACCTTCCAGTTGCAGCCGTCTGTGTGGAGTCTGGGTGTTTTATTTATATATTTCTGTCAGATTTTTCCAGGTGCTGTAGTAGGTGTCTCCTCCTATATTCTTCCTGTAGTTACATCATTTGAAAGTGAGTGTGAGGGATTGCCAGTGTTTTGTTTGTTTGTTTTTTTGTGCATCTAAGGGTCAGCTCTGTGATGAGGTGGTGAGCTGTCCAGTTTCCAGTTATAGCTTTCCCCTCACAGAATGAATGCTGGGATAAGCTCTCGGGGGGAGGGCTGGGGACCGTTTACAGAAAAGCGGGCACAGAAAGTAGATGATGGAAAGCGTGAACCACCCTCCAGCTTTCATAAGCTGCACCTGGGCTTTGGGGAAATGAAACTCGATGCACCCGTTGTGGTCTTCAGTGGCTCATTGAAAACAGAGTTTATACAGGGTTTGTGGTTTGTTTTTGTTTTTTTGTGCATCAAAAGTTTGAAATGTAAAAAAGCCATTTGGTGTTACTGTCAGAAGAGTACTGACTGCAGCTGTTTGTCTATTCTAAAAAAAACTGGATTTAGATTTTCTTTTGCTGTCTCCGCAGTGTTTGACTATGCCTACAGAGACTATATCCTGTCCTGGTACATTCCTTTAAGTCATGATGAAGGCCAGTTGTACTCCATGCTGTCAGAGGACTGGTGGCAGATGATCGGGCAGTTGAGATCCAGGCTTGCTGAGATCGACCTCGTCAACGTAGTGTGTTATGACAGCATCCGGATTCTACACACACACTTCACCGACCTCAAAGCTGCATCTGCAAGGTGCCCTAGCACACACTCTTTTATTGTATGAAGTTCTCCCACAATATTCATCACCTGCAAATCAAGGATGGGAAAGCTTGTGAAATAATGTGTTGTTACTGTCAGAGTCGCTGAGCCTCTAAAAGCTTTCTTTGCACAGAGGTATGACTCACAGTTGTTTATCAGGAAATATGTTCCATCTTTGATTTGTTACTGAAAAAGATTTCTCTTCCCACCAGTGTCCATACCTAGTACCATAATTTTATGTAAACAGATGGTGTGAAATTACTGCAAAAGTAATCCCCCTTCAGTGTGTGCCAGGTACACTATCACACATGCGCGTGCAGGAAAAAGAACAGACAGAGCGATGATTCACACATCATCTGGTTTTATTATCTTGGCCAGTCAGACGAGACTTATGATTTGATTGCACTGCTGTGATGTCTGGTCTGCCTAATTTCCAATTGCTTGGGAACAATGTAGCGGCAGCAGCATGTCTTTAGAAGCAAAAACAGCGAGCTACAACACAGCTGAAGTATGAATAACAGAGGCAGCGAAGCTTTAGCTCACGTAATATAATCGGACATCTAAGCTGTGACAGAATAACACTTCACTGCAGCTCCGTCTATTTGTGTTTGTTTCTTTGTGTGTGTTTGTCCGTGTGTCCCCAGACCAGAGGAAGTGGCTCGGCCGTTTTCTCTCCATCCCTGTTTGGTCAGTCCGGAATCGGAGCTGGCCTTCCTCCGCTGTGTAGCCAGAATACTACTGCTATGTCTGCTGCCACAAAAGGATGCCAAGTCGCACACACTACGCTGCTGTCTCACTGAAGTCATCACTACTAAAGGTACATAACTTCCTTGGGGATTAATAAAGAATTCTGATTCTAATTGGTCATTGTCACAAACTGTGAAGTCACATATATGCATTATTGTTGTCAAAGAATAATATGTTCTGTTTTAATGTACCTTTTATGAGTCATTGCTTTTTTGTCTTATGGATTGTTATTACAAGTAGCAGTCGTTGAATGTTTATATCTTTATTTTGCCTCTACTCCAAGTCATTAAACACAAGAGTAGTTGAATCAGCTCCACAGTGCAGACATGGTGATGAAATGTGCACCATCCTCTTGGTGGACTCCGCTTGTCAGTGTCACACTCCCATAATTGGGGAATTAAACATACGCTGTGAATAAATTTCATGTAAATAGAATGAAACTTTACTCAACGCATTGGGACACAATTCATGATAAGCACAGTTGTAATTAAAAACACAAATGGTGTCTCCTTTCCTCTAGTTGTTTAATAGTTGCACCTGCTCAGTGAAAGAGATGTAACACTGAGGTGTTGTTGACATAGATGCATAACACTCGCAGCTCTTCAGGTGTGTTTGATAAACAAAGAATAAATATACAACATTCTGCTGAATAGTTTTACTCTTTAATATACAGTACTATGTAGAACTCTTGAGTTCTTTAATTTCTTTTGATTTTGCTAGGAAAATAAGAAACGGGTGCAGCGATTTATTGAATCATAGCCAAGCATACATGTGAATACAATAATATAAGGCTAAAACAGAGTCTGTACAATTCTCACTAGCTTTAAAGTCAATATTTGTATGACCACCTTTATTCTTCAGCACAGTCTGGTATAGTTCATTTCAGGTCTTCTTTGGGTGTTTGCTGTCTTTCGTTTGTTTCTGTGTCGATGATCTCACACTGCCTCAGTAATGTGGAGGTCTGCGCGCTGGGAGGCCAGTGTGTGTGTTCCAGTGTGTTCCCTTTTTTTTTTAAATATCCACACATGCTTTTACTGCATTGGTAAAATGCAGTAATCATCACTCCATTATCACTTACTCCTGCCACTGATTCTTTTTTTGGGACATATCTCCACCTTTTCTCCCTGTTCCCATTCCTTAAGAATGACTTCTTTACAGTCAGCCTTCCGAGACCATTTCTGGTGACGTTTGAACAAACAGTATTTAGATCAGCTGCAGGGTCAGACGGATTTCTCAGGTCCTGTGTCACGTCTTTGTTGGTTTTTGCCTATTACATGACTTTCACTTACTCTCTATCTGCTGTAGATTGCTTTTTATGCCTGTCACTTCTTCTTTTGTCCTCTACTTTGCCAGTTTCCTCATTTTCTTTTACCCTTATTTTAAACCATGTACATGTAAACTTTGTCAAGATATGACAAGATCACCTTGTTGGTGCATTTTCTGCCTGTCAAAGTGTCCTGCCGTTGGCATTTTTACTAGATTTGAATAAAGAAATTGGAACAAATATTATTGTGACAGGCTTTTAGCAACAAAGCGCCTAAAAATACAATATAAACGATCTCTTTGCTAAGTTTCCTGGTATGTTTGGAGACAGCATTGCTTCTTTTCTTGAATTAGATGCTTGCTTTTTTGAATGATTTGAATGAATGACTCATAGATCAGTGTGGCTTAACAAACAAAAACATTCCTCTGGACAAAGACTGGACTCGTATTCCTTCCAGTCTTTGTACCTTGAATAAAGGCCAGGGGATGAGGGGAATAACAATAGTGAAAATAATAATTTTCTTACAAAGGATTCAACTCAGAGAGACAATTAAATAGCCAAAGGAAAAGGCTTTGCTGCTCACTAGTAGCTCCAACATTAATTTCGGTCCAAACTCAGGCAAAGCTCTTCACTACAGCTCATCACTCTCAGGCTGGCACACACTGAGTCCGAGCAACTCCACTCCAGATCTTTTTATAGTGTTGGATGATGATTGGTGAGCAGAGCATGCTCCACACTGGTGGCTCCTCACAGGAAAACGTGTGGCAGCTGCAGGCAGGGGAGAAGGAAAGCAGAACACACCCACTAACACAACTTGTTAGGTTTGTAACAAAATATAACAAATGACGAGTGGCTCACAGTCTTTGGACACTACTGCATGTTATAAATAATTTAATTGTCATCTAATTATTGAGCATTGCAAAATGTACTCTTAGCTGTTGTAACAGCACTGACTCATAAGGGAAGTGTGGCAGTGAAGAAAGGAGAGGAAAAAAGAATGCAGGAAGATACAGAACACTTTTTCTTCTTCTCCTGCATTGCAGCAGAGCGCCACACTGTTACTGCTGCACTTGGCTCTTGTTTCCAGAGTACATGTTGGTTTACATGGTGTGAAACAAATGTGCAATTTTGCTGGCCTGACACATGAATCAATGGACTTTTGTTATTTATCTGTAATGTTTTGCTGCATGTTTGAGCTGTTCTGGGAAATTTACCTGCTGAAAAACCGGAAAAGTTGGAATTCAACTGAGAAAAACTGGAATCTTACAAACTCTGTGGTCATCCTTTCCTCTTGAGCAGGTGTGTTGTCAGTGTTGTTTTGAATGCAGCTGTTGTTGTGTTCCTACTGTGAGAAGGAACAGATGAAACGATAGAGTCATAAGAAAATGTGTGATATCTTGATGTCTAGCTGCTGCTCTGTTTCTAGAACTGCATTCCTCCATTTCCCACACCTAGGATTTTTTTTTTGTTTTTTTTTTTTTTTTTTTTTTTTAGATCAGTGTCTCATTTTATTATGCGTCACAGAAATCTGTGGTTCTAACTTCATCAAGAGCATTTGTCCTTCCTTTTTACATCAGCGTATTTTTATCTTTGTGCGTGTGTTCTCCAGTCCTGAAGCCGTTGGTAGAGGTACTCAGCGATCCAGATTCCATAAACAGGATGTTGTTGTCTCAGCTGGAAAAGAGGGAGCAGCAGGCTGAGCAGCAGAAGAAAGCCTACACCTACGCTGCCTCTTATGAAGACTTTATCAAACTGATATCAACTTCTACTGATGTCAATTTCCTCAAGCAACTCAGGCATGACAGTGACAACGTACACACACACAGTAGATGCCTACATTACCTCATTTAAGTAGACTATCCTGTACCTACATAGAATCAAATTAAACAAACCACGTGTGTCCTTATATACATAATGACAAACATGTTAACCAGGCAGTCTTAGCCACCAACATGTTTGCTGCTCAGGGGTTACCATGGGAACAGACAATGTCTCTGCAGCAATATACTTGATCTAAATGCAGGGTAGACATGATACTGCTATATTGTCTCGTTAGTTTGAGAAATGGTGGCTCAGTACTGGCTGCTTTTTGAAATGTTTATTCTTTTTGTTTGTTTTGATTTATTTTGGCCTCGTCACTTTCCATACTATATTTCCATCTTTCTGTGACGTAATTCATCTAATAATTGTATTTGTCTCCCGTCTTTCCTCCTTTGTAGGTATCAGATTGTGGTAGAGATTATTCATGCCACCACCATCAGCAGCCTGCCTCAGCTCAAGAAGCAGAAAGGTACAGACAACACTACAGTTTCCTGCATTTAAAACCTCAAAAGTATGGCAGCGTTTCAGTTCACGTTCACTGCCCCTAAAAAGCTAGCCAGGTATGCAATATAGGCATTCATTCATAGAAGTAAACAATAAGAGTACAGTCACGATTCCGCTTGTTTTGCAACAATTTGAATGGAAGTGATGTGAACATTTATCTGTCAGACACTTGCAATATGCCTGAGTTCAGCCTCGTGTCAAAGACTTTTAAGGACCAGGAAGTGACATTGAAAGCGAAGTTTCAGGACAGCTGTGTGAGCTTCTGCTGAGGAAATAATGTGAGCGTGGTTATAATGACATTACCAGAGCGACTTTAGTCGTAAATGTATTACAGCAAAGGCTGATGGGAATACATCATTAGTGTTGCAGGTGGTTGAGTCTGAAGGAAAGTATTGTATGTAAAAGTTTGAAACGGATGGACAGATAGCACCAGCTGATACAGATTTACAAACAATACAAGGGAATGAGTGGATTTGAACTGCCCTGCAGTGCAGCACCTAATTTTTATTCTCATTGATTGAGGGGGGAAATGGTCCATAAACTGTCTCCATGTGCACTTTTAAACACTATACTGTCTATACTGTGTGATCCTGCTGGACTACACAGTATTCTTTTCAATTTGCTTTTGGGGATTTTGGAGACCCAGTACTGGTTTCTGTTTGCACAGGCTGTTTGCTGTTGAAACACACAGTCCCTGTTCAGCAGTGAATGAATTCATGAGTACATTTAAAGGCCAGTCGGCTGTAGAAACTGCAAGTGCATTCACATGCTGTATCTGAAAATCAATGACCAATAAAGTTCACTTGTTGGTGTGCTTGGCTTGAAGCACATTTTCATAGAATCAGGCCATCGGTATGTATCAGCTTTATCCCGATAGTTCAGTGGCTCCACACCAGGTGATTGTGTGGCTTTGTGTTATTATGTGGCCAGAACTTGCTCAGACAGGCTTTCCCTCTCCCTTAGAGAAAAAAGGTAAAGAGTCAGCAGCCATGAAGGCCGACCTGCTGAGAGCCAGAGATATGAAAAGATATATCAATCAGCTGACTGTTGCTAAGAAACAATGTGAAAAAAGGATCCGCCTCCTTGGAGGGCCAAACTATGAGAATAGTGAGGAAGGAGGGGCCGATGACAACGACGAGCCTCAAAGCCAGAAGGTAAATAATATATCATGTAACTGATG